CTAAGGGGCGGGGGTGAGGTAGCCTCAGTGCAAGGAAAACCACACCCACCGTCAGTGAGGCGGAGGGCGGGGCAGATTCCAGGGGCTTCAGGAAGTGTGTGGAGAAAGTGTCCTCAGTTCTGCTTTCCTTCCTGTCACCAGCCTTCCTGCAGAGCTGCCCAGGAGCAGAGGAGGGGAGCCCCAGGAGCAGGAGGGGAGCCCCAGGAGCAGAGGAGGGGAGCCCCAGGAGCAGAGGAGGGGAGCCCTGGGAGCAGGAGGGGAGCCCCAGGAGCAGAGGAGGGGAGCCCCATCTCTACCTCCACTCCTGGAGGTGGGGTGCTCAGATGTGGGCTGGGGGCTGCTCTACCGGCCGTCAGGAGCCTCTCCTCCTGGCCTTAGCTTCCTGCTCCCATTCTCACCCGGCCCCCACCCCACAGGTCCCACCTTCTGAGTGAGGGTCTGAGGGACCTTCAGCCGCCTCCTGTAGCAGCTGCTCCAGGGCCCAGGGGGGCTGCCCTGGGAGCCTTTTCCTACCCCCTGCCCCCACCACCACCACCGCACCCCCATGCATGCCGCCGTCAGGAGTCCCCGAGCATTATGTGTGTTCCGATAGATGATGGCTGATCTGCTGTTCAGAAAACAGAATTACCAAGCGGCCATCAATCTCTATCACCAGGCCCTGGAGAAAGCCCCAGGTAACTTGCCCATTTTGAGGCTGCCTGCCTCTGTTCCCAGTGAGCACCAGCTGTTCTCCCCTCCTTCCGGACTGGACACAGGAAGCCCTTTCCTCCTGACTGTTCCCACAGAGGCAGGAAGCTGAAGACCTGATGGAACGTGCCGGCCCTTCCCGAGTCCAAGGGGCCAGTTCCTGACAGGACAGTGCTTGGCCCTAGACCCAGGGTGGTCTGCCCATCCCCAAGTCACGGTCACTGCGGCTCAGTATAGTCCTGAAGTTCTACCTACCTGGAGGGGGCTCAGAGTCCTCCCCTGGTATAGCTCCATTCCCACTCACTGCAGCAGAAAACCACTCCTTCCTGCTGGGGAAGGGGCTGCGCAGGAGGCTCAGACTGTCAGACTGGCCCGCGGGCAGAGTCTCCCCGTGCCTCCCGCACATCAAAGTGGTTAGGACGGTGGGTCCTGTAGGCAGCCTGCCTGGATCTGATCCTGGTCTGCCATTCCTAGCTGTGTAACCTGTGGCAGGTTACTTAGTGAACTTCTCTGTGCCTCAGTCTCCTTGTCTGTGTAATGGGGACAATAATACGGCTAATGTTAATGTAGTCAGTCAGTGCTATAGTTGTGATTATTATTATAATTTTTAAGCATTATTGTCATTATTTGCTCAACACCAGCCCAGGAGGCTGCCCTGGAATGTCCCTGTTAGGCTCAGATGGGCAGTGTCTGCTGGCTCCCCCCGGGGGACCGGCGCCCCCTGCTTCTTCTTGGCAGGCCGCAGCACCCCCCACTGATGTGTCTATGGGCCATTTTAGTCTGGAGATTTCTGCTCTCTTATCATTTTAGATAATTTTTCAGTGCTGAGTAAGTTAATCGATCTGCTGCGAAGAAGCGGCAAACTTGAAGAGGCCCCCGCCTTCTTCGAAGTGGCCAAGAAGGTGTCCAGCCGCGCCCCCTTGGAGCCAGGCTTCAACTACTGCAGAGGCATCTACCGCTGGTGTGTTGAGGGGCGGGCGTGTGCAGGAGGCCCCTCTGCACTAGACCCACTGCCGTCGGGTCGATGCCGACTCGGAGCGACCTGTAGGACAGAGTAGAACTGCCCCGTGGGGTTTCCGGGGCTGTCAATCACTGTGGAAGCAAATGCCACGTCTTTCGCGCTGAGTGGCTGGTGAGTTCGAGCCACGGTCCTTTTGGTTAGTAGCTGAGCGCTTAACCACTGTGCCACCAGGGCTGCTTCTTGCTGGTGCTAGGGGAGCAGCAGTCCTGCTTCCAGGACCTGGAGGTGAGAGACCACCAATCCAGCTCCTGCTTGTCACACACTCATAGAGCCGCCCCTCCTGCCCTGGTACTCTCTCGGCCTCAGTTTCCCTACCTGATTCTTGGTGTTTCTCTCGTCCACTGCAGGCACACAGGGCAGCCCAACGAAGCCCTGAAGCTCCTGAACAAGGCACGCAAGGACAGCACCTGGGGCCAGAGCGCCACCTACTACATGGTGCAGATCTGTCTGAACCCGGACAACGAGATCGTGGGCGGAGAGGCTTTTCAGAGCCTGGTGGCTGAGAGCAGGTGAGGACCCCGCTGGCCCCGGGGGCGGGGCGGGGGGGGACCCTGGGCAAGGAGGGGAGGGCCTGCAGCCTGTGGGCCAGGGCCAAGGGTGCTGGCTGGTGGCTCCTGAGCTCAGCGTCCCACACCCACAGCTCCCCAGATAGGAAGGACTCGGAGCTGCATGGCGTGCACACGGCCGAGAAGCTGCTGCGTGAATTCTCCCCGCACTCGGCCGCCGGCCAGGCCCAGCTGCGGCTGCTGCAGAGCCACTGCCTGATGGCCACCAGGGAGAAGGCTAACGTGGAGGCGGCGCTGGGCACCTTCACCGAGATGGCCCAGGCCGAGGTGCGCTGGCTCTCAGGGATGGCGGGCGGCGGGGCAGATGCCGAAGGCCCAGCCACGCCGACGCCCGCTTCCCACCCCGTGTGCAGAAGGACAGCGTCCCCGCCCTGCTGGCCATGGCACAGGCCTATGCGCTGCTGAAGCAGATCCCGAAGGCGCGCACGCAGCTGAAGCGCCAGGCCAAGGCCCCCTGGTCGCTGGCCCAGGCCGAGGACCTGGAGAAGTGCTGGCTCCTGCTGGCCGACATTTACTGCCAGGGCGGCAAGTTCGACCTTGCCTCGGAGCTGCTGCAGCGCTGCCTGCAGTACAACAAGGCGAGAGGCGCGCGGCGCGGGGCGGCCGGGAGTGGACACCGGCTCCAGGGGCCCCGCGAGGAGATGGGGCGGGAGGGGCGCGCGGAGCCGGGGTGGCCGGGGGTGGGGGTGGAGGAAGCGGGGGACGCCAGCCCCAGGGGCGCCCCAAGGAGACGGGGAGGCAGGGGCGCGCGGCGCGGGGCGGCCGGGAGTGGACACAGGCTCCAGGCGCCCCACGAGGGGATGGGGCGGGAGGGGCGCATGGTGGTGGTGGAGGAGGCGCGAGTTAGGGAGGGGTCTGGACTGCAGGACAGAACGGGGCAGCGAGCACTCGCGTGAGGACCCGGCAAGAGATGCGCGGGGCGCGCCCAGAGAGAAGAACGGGGGGTGGGGAGAGAGATGAAGCGTGTTCTCGTGTTGACGGACTTGCACGGGTCGAGGGGGCGTCACCGGCTCAGAGTTCGTGAGGAAGGGGAGGGGCAGGATAGGAGGGGTGGGCGGGAAGGGATCATGCGTGGGGGGGAGGTGCCTGAGAGGAGGGTGCACAGGTTCCCGGTGACGGAGAGGGGCGAGGAGGAGCCCCATCTCTTGCGAAGGTGTGGGGGTGCTTCAAGGTTACCTGGAGTGGTAAGGCTCGGGGCAGCTCGCCTACGTGCCCCGCCCCGCTCCGCCCGACGCTAGGGGCTGGGGACTGGACGCGCTCCCCCTCCGCAGGGACTCAGGGGCTTTCCCTGCAGTCCTGCAGCAAGGCCTACGAGTACATGGGCTTCATTATGGAGAAGGAGCAGTCCTACAAGGACGCGGCAACCAACTACGAGCTGGCCTGGAAGTACAGCCATCACGCCCACCCCTCCGTGGGTAAGCCAGCCGCACGGTCCACGTGGGTGGGTGTGGGAGGGAGGTGGGCACCCAGAGCTCAGGGCCTGTTCCGCAGCTGCCCAGGAAGCAGAGCGGTTCTCAGGTCAGCAGGAACCCTTGGTCTTTGTTCTCCTTGCTCTTGGACAGGCTTCAAACTCGCCTTCAACTACCTGAAGGACAAGAGATTTGTCGAAGCCATTGAAGTCTGCCACAGCGTAAGCCGCCAACGTTGGCCGGAGGGCAAGGCGAGGGTGGTGGTTTAAAGGCTGCCTGACGCTACACACTCTCTGTCCTTGTCCCAGGTTCTCAGGGAGCACCCCAACTACCCCAAGATCAGAGAGGAAATTTTGGAAAAGGCCCAAGGATCCTTGAGGCCCTAGTTGTGGTCAGTGGCCGGAGGCCCGCCAGCCTCTGGGGATCGTGGGGGTCTGGGGTAGAAGCCATCAATCTACAGAAGTGTCACCAGAGGGTGGGAGGTGGGGGCAGTGGAGAAGGGATTCAGAAAATGCCATATTCTTCCTTGTACCTGTGTTACGCGTGGTTTATTTGGAATCACGCCTCTTTTAGACTGAGGGGCATCCCAAAGCTTTATGTTTTAAGGGAACGAGAAATCATTTTGCTCTAGGGGAGAGAGAAATCGGCCAGCTTAGCCTCTGCTGGGCTCATGGGCACATTCTGTTGGGCTTCGTTTTCCCCTGCTTGTCCCAGACTCTGAGAGAGAAGAGGGGCTCCCAGTGGGCTGGTAGTTTTTGAGAAAAAAAGTACCCTACAGCTATTTTAAAACTGTTACATCAACCCTTAAATGCCTCTCCTCTTCTGTCTGGTCCCAGCATCCTGCAGCTAAAGAAGCAACCGCTCCTCCCCACCAGGCTGTCCCTCTGGCAGTGGGCCCAGACAGGAGGGCCAGCTGCAGAAGGGCGTGCCTGAAAGGCCTCTGTCGTCCTGCAGGTTGTGAGGACCACATCCCCCGCCTCCATCCACCGTCTCTTCCTGCCCCCAGTCTTCAGCTGACCACTGCTGGTCCTCACTGGTTTGGGGTAAACCTAATTACACTTGCCTGGTGCAGGGAAATACATTCCAAGAAAAGTTCATTTCCACTTTGGCTTTTGTAGAAGACACGGACCAACGAATCTGCCCTCCAGAAACCTCTTAACACCTAAGGGGCAGACACAGTGACCCTAGTCTAGATGGAGAACGTTAATTGTAGCTGGCAGGGGGTGACAGAGGTCGCCTTTGTGTGCTCCCAGTACCTCTTCCTGTTTTTCAGGGCGGCAGTAATGGGGCCACAGCCAGGTCTCGGGGGAAGGATCTCTGAACTCCGAGTCAGGAGGCCTAGGATCTCCCAGTGCAACCTGCCCCTCCGGCTCTCAGTGTCCCCATCTGCAGCAGGAGGGAGACTAGACCTGTGATCCCTAGACCATGGCACAAATGCCTGCAAGTGATGGACAGCGAACGTTTTTAAGTTGAATTTCGATTCGGTCTTACGCCATTTTTTACATAATACGAAGTAACTAGCGCAAGCTTATAAATTCATGGATACTGTTGGAGCCCTGGTGGCGCAGTGGTTAAGAGCGTGGCTGCTCACCAAAAGGTCGGCAGTTTGAATCCACCAGCTGCTCCTTGGAAATCCTATGGGGCAGTTCTACTCTGTCCTATAGGGTCGCTATGAGTCGGAATCGACTCGATGACAACAGGTTTGGCTTGGTTTTGGGTTTATTGCCTAGGATGGATCGACCTTTTAAGCATATTGATAGCATGGATTTAAAGAGAAATACTGAGGATGGGTAGAATGCAAATCTGGCAGCCTTTCTAAGAGAACTTGTCCAGCGACTGAGATTTGGGAACCGTGAATGGATAAGGGTCCCTTTTAGAGCCGAGCGAGTTGTCCCTGATGGCCGCTACGCCTTGTTTTTATAACAGACTGCTGGTCATGTGCACAGCTTCTGGGTGTGAGTCAGTCATTTGGAATGCTTCCCCCAGTTACCATCATCCTTCCTATGGGAAAACCCAGTCCCCTTTACTGTGATCTGCTTTACAACCCAGTTTCTCGGGGCGGCTGTGTAGAGGCAGGTCTGTCTGAGGTTTCAGCCTGGGCACAGACAGGGCTCTCTCTGCAGAATGCTGCTGGAAAGGGGTCGTGCTTCATTGTGTCTTTGCTGCAAAACCTAAGTAAGTTGTCTTATTTTAAAAAAAAAAAGACAAGAAAGCCAAGCAGTGGCTCGGTTGCCCAGGAAGGGGGGGGAGGCGGGCCTCAGTCCAGCCATGGGCTGTGTCCTTGGGGTGGAGCCGTAGGGGCTGCCAGCCAAGGCCCTGGAGCTGCTGGGGGCTGCCATCCAGACCCCAGAGCCCTTGGAGATCCAGGTTTTAGACCCTGCACGCTGAAGCAGTCGCTGCAAAGGGTCCTTGGGGACCAATGAGGAAGGAGACAGGACATCCGAATGCACCAGGGTGCTCCACCCCTGCCCTGACCAAGTGCTTCAGGGGTGTGCTGCCCACCATAGGCCAGATTCCTGCACAGTCCTCTAATTACCACTGACTGTGGCCTGTGGCCTTGTCCAGAGGCAGGAGACAGAGACCTAAAGGTGTCAGAAACAGCAAAAAAGAAAGGATAAAACATAGGAAAAGAGAAGCAGAAACACTAAGACAGGATGGAAGTCTCACATACACACATCTGGGGCTTGCGTGTTCCAGGCACCCTTCTGTGCCGTGTGGGAACTAACTGCCCGCGTATGAGGTGGGCAGTGTTATCTGCACAGAGCGGGTCAGCAACTTGCTACGTCATCCCACTAGGTAGTGGGAGAGCTGGGATTCGAACCCCGCAATCTAGGCCCCAGCTCTCAGGCCTTAGGCCATCCTCCATATAGACATAAGAGATGCCCAGCAGAAGCAGAGAATTAGAAAACGAGACTCAAGTTAGCTCCTTTTTGGTCCCCCTCCAAGAAGCTCCCCGCCTGCCTCCCAGCACCTGCATACATCATTACCCCCAAGGAGGTCAGCTTTCCTCCTTGGGCCCCACACCGGGGCTCCCCAGAGCAGGGTGTGTCTGCTCTGGCTGGCCGGCAGCCAGGCCGCCCAGAGGGGACAGGTCAGACGGGTCTGGCTGGTGCAGTGGATGAGCTGCTGTGGCTTCTGGGGCTCGGGCCCCCAGGGAGCACAGCTGCTGAGCCCAGTGCCAGGCCCCCACGGGCCACCTCCCACTGCCTGCCCTGCCCCCACTGGGGCAGGTCACTTCACTCTCAGCCAGGGCCCAGCTCAGTGTGGGTGAGTGGGAAAGAGGGAGGCCCCACCCGGCCCAGGAAGCTGCCCCCCTCAGTGATCCCCACCACCCCCGGCGAGGAGTGTGTTAATCCTAAAGAGGACGGCTGCCTTCCTCTCCCTCTTGCGCAAAGCTGAGCAACCTCTCGGCTGGCCTCGGCTGGCCTGCGGCCTCCAGGATGACTGACCTGGAGGGAGGCCGCATGTGTGTCCCCGGCTCCCACCCCCAACACAGCCTTGGGGGCCTGCCTCCCCCACCCTCCTCATCCCACAAACCAGACCACACTGTTAAAAACAGAACCTCTTTACTGGTACCTGGAAGTTCAGGTACAAGGTGTTCCCACGAGCACACAGCCTGGCGAGGCCTCCTGAGCAAGGGGCAGGGTAGGAGGTGAAGGGGCAGGCCCAGAGCCTGGGCTGCTTGGCACAGACAGAAAGGAAAATGAATGAATTATAGTTCTAACACTTAGGGATGGTGTCAAAATTACGATGCAAAATTCAGCATGGGCAGAGGGCATAAAGGCCCTCAGGAGCCCGCCCTTGCCCTGGCCAACTGGCCTCAGCACGGCAGGCAGCCCGGGCTGGAGTACGGCGCCCAGAAAAGACCTGAGGTGGTCAAGGGGGTGCTGTGTGTCCTGAGGCAAGCCCCTTGCCCTCTCTGGGCCTCCTGCTTCCCTCGCCAACATCAGTGGAGCTGGAATAAAGGCTGTGGCCTTTGGGAAGGGGATGGGGCAGAGGACAGGAAGCAGGGGGGCCGGGTAGGGCAGGAGGGGATTTTGGTCACGGTCGGTCAGCCCTGCGTGCCCAGCCATCCAGGAGCCAGGCGGCTGACAGAGTTGATCATAGGCTCAAATGCACACCTGGTCTGCACCAAAGCCCAGGCCGGGCTGCAGGTCTGCAAGGCAAAAGTGACTTCCAGGGTCTGTGCCCCACACTGACCCCGGACGACCCACCAGCCAGAGAAGAGGCCAACGCCACCTCTGTCTCCAAATAAATTACAGAAATAAATTACACTCTTCACAGTCCAAAGGATTTGCCCAGCCTCAGGGCTCAGGGCAGTGGGAGAAGCCGCAAGTAGCCGATCCCAGCCCTGTCTCGCTGTCTTTGGGCAGAGAGACATCATAGAAAGATGAACAGGGGAGCCAGATCTTCTCTTCCTGGCACGCGCTTTGGCGACGGGAAGAGTACTGTGTGGGCGGGGGGCCAGGAGCAGGGTGGCTGGAAAGGGGAAGCCCCGCCCCCGGCCCACTCCTCTGCACAGTTAAAAAAAATAAATAAATCCCGACTGTTGCACAAAAACCAGGAGTGCCCACAGACCGTTACACACAGGCCCCAGGGAACCCCCAAACCACAAAAAAGCAGCAGCAGGGTTCTGAGGGCTGGGAAAAGGCCTCCGCCTCCTCACACGCGTACTGGCTCCATCAGAGACGCTGCGGCAGTGTCTTCAAACAGCTGGCTGTCGATGAAGGGAGTGTGGACCACCTCAGCTGGCTCAGAAGAACCCATGAAGGACTCCAGGAAGCAAGTGGCTGTGTCCCTGGGTGGAGAGAAGCCTGGCAGCACGGGGAAGAAGGGTGCCTCGAGGGTATCCAGGCTGTCAGACACCTTCCGGGAGGTGTACAGGGGCCCCAGACTATAGTCCGGCAGGGCCTGGAGCAGCTCGAAGGAGTCGCAGGAAGACAAGCTCAGGTCCACGGAGCTGCTCTGGCCAGCGTCCACACTGGCCGGCCCTGGGGTGCCAGGGAGGCTAGCTTCTCTCAACTCTTCAGGGCCACCGTTCAGGAAACAGCTGGCATCCAGGTTGGCGTTCTCATCCAGGATGCCCAACGCGAGGCTCGAGCCGGAACAGCTGTGGGTCCAGCTGGCCAGCCCACCCGGGTCACCGGTACCAAAGATGTCAGCTGGGTGGAAGCAGCTCAGGTTGTCCAGGCTCCCCACGCCCCCTTCCTCCTCCTCTTCCTTCTCCTCCCTGCCGAGTTCTGAGTCATCGAACTGCAGGATCTGGACCAGGCTCTCATCATCTACGCCAGGCTGGAAGCCAGGGCCGGGGAGGGCCAGGTGGGCAGGGCCACCGGGGGCCTCGCTGGCACCCGACGCCGGGGACGATGCAGTGGAGGAATCAGTCATATCGCTGCTGCAGCTGTGATCCCCCAGCTCACCGCTCACCAGGGGCATGGCCAGTGGGAATGTGGGGGCCAGGGCCTGCTCACCAGGGCTGGGGGCGCTGCCCCGGGCAGGAGCCTCCAGCTCCACGAGGCTCTCGTCCCCCTGCTCCAGCTGCAGGCGGGTGAGCGTGTGGATGAAGTGGGTCTGAACTCGTGCCTGATTAAACTCCACTCGGCCCTGGGGGTTCTCGCAGCCCTCCCTGCAGCAGCCGCAGGGGAACGCCGTGTGGTCCACCTGTGGAGGGGAGACCGTAAGGACTCTGCAGAGCCCCAGAAGGCCCCAGCTCCCTGCCTGCCCCCTCCCAGCCCGGTCCAGCCCCATACCTGGCACTTGATGCCCGCCAGGCTGCAGCTGCAGCTCTCGGGGTTGCAGACCTTGTCGCAGTGACAGCCGCAGTCTTCCCGAGACTGGCGCAGTGCCTGCAGCTCCCGCTTCTCCTCGCGGTCGATCCTCCGCACTCCGGCAGCCCGCAGCAGGGTCTGCCGGCACCGGGCTGGGTAGGGCTGCAGGAAGGTCCCTTCCTCCAGCCAGCCGCCTGCCACGGCCACTTCCAAGTCCTCCTCCACAGACGCGTCATCGATGGCGTCCACGGTGAGCGGCGGGCCCGCCTCCGCCTCGGGCACCCCGGTCGCAGAAAGCTGCACTCACAAGAGAACAAGAGAGAGGAGGGACAAGAGAGGCTCAGATACGGGCACACAGTCTCTGCAGCCATCAGTCACTCAGCCAGCATCCCCGGGTGCTTCCCCAGGCTGGCCACCGTGGACAGTGTGAACAGGACAGCCAAGGACACTGCCTTCAGGGCATCTGCAGAGACAGCCTGTCCACATCCATCTCCAGTTCACGGACAGACCCCCGCCCCTAGCTAGCCAGGCAGATACAGAACCCCCATGTCACGTCAACCCCACACCCCTCTCCCCGGTACAGCAGTCAGGCACCGTGCCCTCAGCCCCTATCTGCAGATACCCAGGCAACAGACCCCAATTGAATCAATCACTGGTGCCCACGTGTCTGGTTCCTCAAACACCCAGTGAGCCAATCAGCATCCCACCCTGCTGCTAACTCTCCCTGAGGACCCCCTCCCTAGGAGGCTAGGGCCTCAGGAGCCACCGAAAGACAGGCCGTGGAGGTGGGTCCTACCTTCCGCCTCAGCACCTCCAGCTTCTCCTCCTTCAAGCGCAGACGGAGCCTCTCTCTCCGAGCCAGGGCCTGCTCGTGCGTGAACTCGGCCAAGGAGAAGCGGCGGCAGGCGCTGTGGCGAGGGGCCATGCCCAGCGTGCAGCCACCACGGCTGGGCACGCTGGTGAAGCCCTGGCACCGAGGGAAGTAGAAGACAGTGATGCCGTCGAAGGCAACGCGGCCGGGGCGCACCCGGGGAGCCCGCTTCAAGATGGACAGGGCTGGAAGGCAGGCAGGGAAGGGGCGGGCGGTTAGCTCTCCGTGAGGCACAGCCTAACTTCCCAGAAGGGCGTCCTGAACCTCTTCTCATACGCCCCTCCCCCACACTGAAAAAAGAAGTGGATCTGAATATAGGAGCCAGCACGGCTGGGACTGGAGCTCACAAAATTGAACACAACACTCACGTCCGTACTGGCTTATTATTTACCAGTTCAAATGAGAGTATTAGTAAGATTAAGCACCCTTCCTTTCTTCTTTTCTTTATTGGAGCCCCAGTGATGCGGTGGTTAAGAGCTCAGCTGTTAACTAAAAGGTTAGTAGTTCGAACCCGCCAAGCTGCTCCTTGAAAACCCTACGGAGCAGCTCTACTCTGTCCTATAGGGTCACTATGAGTCGGAATCAACTAGACGGCAACAGGTTTTTTGTGTCTTTTGGTTTTACGTACAGAGGTTTTTTTTTTTAATTATTATTGATTTGTAGAGGCTCTTTATATATGATATTTTTTACCTAGCTACCTCCTGAGTGAATTCCCCTTTAAAAGTGTTTCTGCTTATTTTCTTGAATTCATCAGATAGGCAGCCATCTGCAAATAATGGCAATTTAGCCTGCCTCAATCCGATACTTGTAATTCTTATTGTCTTTGCTAATTGAGTTGGCTAGCACTTCCTGAGCAGTGTTAACTAGCAGTGGCGACAGCATCCTGATCTTGTTCCTGACCTAGTGGGAATGCTTCCGGCATTTCCTTATTAATCATAGTGCCACCTTTTGGGTTAAGATATCCTTTTTAAGAAAATAAAAAAAGTCATGCTGAGGTAAAATTCACTTATCCTGTCTTTCAAAGGGTTTTATCTAGAAGGGATATTACATTTTATCAAATATTCTTTCTGCGTTTTAGCGGCTCTCATCTTTTTCCTCTTCTGACATAGTCGTTTGGTAAACGATATAACTGGATTTCCTAATATCCTGGTATTTACAGAATAAACCGATAGCAGTTTAGTCAACGTACTGTTTTATGCTGCCAGCTAAGGCTCCATTTGTGACTTTCGTATCTGTATTCTTAAGTTAGAACAGCTGCAGTTTTTAAGTTGGTTAGTTTTAGGGCATGCATTCAATGGAGGCAAAAACTGGCCCTTGGGGGGCAAATAAAGCACAGATATACATACAGTACATAAACAGACAGCATATCTGTGTTATTAAATTTTTGTAGGGGGGGCGATTAGGACAAATACATCTAAAAAGGCTGAGGAAGGGGTGATATTGAGACAGAAGGTTGAGAAACGCTGCTCCAGGGCTCGCCTGTCAGTTTGGAATCAGAATTACGCAAGCTTGAAAATAACCGAGAACACTCTTTTTTCACTACGCGCAGCTGAACGGCACTTTGACTGGAGAGGGACCGGCCGGATAGGCCCCGGGCGGCAGGTGTGGGGCGTTGAGTTCAGCAGCTGGGTTTGCAGGGGCCTAGGGAGCAGGCTGGAGAATGGACAGTGGAAGAGAAGGAAGGGCCCTATGGGCTACTGCAGGGAGCTCCAGCTGTGTCATTACTTTTCAGCAGGGAGTTCCAAGGTCCAAAGTGAATGGAGCTGGGCCCGAGTGCTCTGGACAGGGGCCACTTCTGAGTGGCTGCTGTGTTCCAGGATGTGCATGGGTGGGAGGTAAGGAGGGGAGCTACAGTGCTGGGGTCAGCACTTCCAGAGGCAGGAACAGCTTGATCAAGGGCCTCCCAAGTCTATCTTTCAGGTGGGGTGTGGTGGGGTTCCCAGGTCGTCAGCCACAGCAGGTAAGACTCACGGGTGGAATTTCGGGAACCACAGAAGTCACGGTAAGGCAAGGGCGTCTGGTCCCAGGGGACCTCCTCATCCGACTCCCATGCCGGGGAGGCTGAAGAACTTGGGGAGCAAGAAGGAGAGTGGCATCCGGAGGAGGAAGACGAGGAGGAGGAGTCCTCATCCAGCTGGTCAAATTTCCTCTTCAGCAGCCCGGTCATGGTGGCACTTAGTGCTCTAGGGCCTGGGGACAGACAGCCTGGAGTGGGAAGAAGAAAGCTCTAAGTGGCAAGCCGGCAGCAGCAGGCATGGACCCGTGCCCCCCAGCGCCACCCCCCGTGGTGCTCCACGTGGACACAGCACTGCCCTCCCTCCAAACTCAAGTCCAAGCCCACGTCCTGCTGTTTGCAGACCACTGCCACCTCTGCCCAAAAGTCCGCCCAGGCACCCATCAGGCGCCGTCCCCACTCCCTCCTACAACCCACCTGTACACACACAGGCACGGCCAGCAAGGGCAGGAGGCAGACAGACAGATGGGCTGACAGACCTCTGCCGGCCTCCCTCGTTCCCCGACAGGAATCCTGGGGGCTGAGTCACCGGCTGGGTGATTCACACCAGTTCGCATCTGTGTGCCTCTGTGTGTGTGTGTGTGTGTGCGTGTGTGCGTGTGTGTGTGTGCGCGCGCGTGGCCGTCTGCAGGCCTACGGTCTGCACATCCTCGCAGTCTGCTCCCTCCTCCTCTGCACACCCACACACTGCTGCACACACCCACACACACTGCTGCACACACATTGCCCTGCACACACACACACACCCACACACACCGCCCTGCCTGCACGCACACACACACCCACACACACCCACCGCCCTGCACACACACACCCACACACACCCACACACACACACCGCCCTGCACACACAGACATGAGGCACTCAGGCCAGGCCAGGCTGACCACAGCACCCTGGGAACCAGGCAGCCTTCACACCGACCACAGCCCATTCCCAGAGTCAGGACTTTCCCAAGCTCCTCCGCCTGCTGGGACGGTGCTTCTCAGACTTTCCCTCAGAAATCCCCACCCCACACGAGAGAAGTCCCCGGCCCCCAGGCGGGCCTATGTGACCCTGAGCCCTCCAAATCTGCAAGATCAAGTCTCCTGTGTGATTTAAAAATTCACATACATCTTGCCTTCTACCCCAGTATCCGGCCCTGTTTGGGGGAATTAACCGCCTGTGGAAAACTTACTTTTTCCCTTAAAACAAAAACCTTCCAGGGAAACTGACCGTCCAAGACAATGTCCCACGTCTCTCCTGGCTGCAGCTTGGTGAGCTGGAGCCCAAAGACAACACTGTACCATCCCCGTGTGAGGGTCTCGGGCCCGAGGGGGGTGCAGCCAGCTAGGAGACTCCCACAGCCGGCTGCCTCACTCGGGTTCAGGGGACTTGGGGCTCCCTCTCCTAACTGCCACAGCAAATAACAGTCCCCTGCACCGCCTGGGGGAGGGCCAACATCCTCAGGGGAGTCACTGCAGGCTTGAGCACAGCTACCTTGCCTGCTGCATGGTCCTGCCACACAAAGGGCTGGGCCCCTGGGAGGTCACCAGGAGGAAGGGGAAACAGAGCAAACAGAGGCCCAGTGCTGGGGAGCCCCTCCCCCTCACTGCCATCACAGGAAATGGCAGAGAACAGGAAAAACCACCCAGAAGGCTGCCTTGCTCCCCCTACTCAGGTGTCTCTTCCAAAAACCCCTCTGCCCAGCCCCCCACCAAGTCCCCAGACTGGATCCTACAGGGCGTGCTGTCAGCCAACTGCAGCCACTGCCCAGGCCGGCCTGACAGCAGTGAGACAACCTCTCCCTCCCTCGCCAACTCCCCACCCCGGGCTTGGGGGAACAGAGCACACAGGTGCTTCCGGGGGCTTCTCAGTGGGCTGTTTCTCGGTCTTGACATGGCCCCCTCCCAGGGTCAAACCACAAACAAAAACAACTCAGATCCCGGCTGACCTGCAGGTTCTCCCGGGAGATGGAGAACTCAGGACCCAAGTGTGTATGCACGCATGAGCGTACACACACACACACACAGACACACGCAGACAGACCACAATGACACTCAGACATAAACACACATGGACAAACAACATCCGTGCAGCCTGCCTCTCACCACAGTCCTGCCGGGAGACCCCAGCCTTTCCCAAGCTCCAAATGCCATCTACAGGGTGCTGAATGCCTAAGACCCACCCCCCAAGATCCCCAGAACCAAATGCCTACTTGGCATCTGCACCTGGCTGTCCCCTAGAAACAGAAAATTCCACAGGCCCCAAATCGAACCCATCGTCTGTTTCCCACCCCCCCATGCCATCTGTCCCTCTTCCTGTGTTCCCATCTTAGTAACGGTACCGCCACCCACCCAGTTACTCATGCCAGAAACCTGTAGTCATCCTCAACTCCTTCCTCATGCTCCTGCCACCCGCATTCAGCCACCCAGGCCCTCAAGTACACAGGATTAGCTCATTCAATCCCCACGAGCCAGACACGGCTCAGGAAATATCATGGAGGCCACACCGTGTAGGGTGAAGAACCTTGGCTCAGACCACACTGCCTGAGTCTGATCCCTGGCTTGGCTCCTAATCAGCTGGGAGATCCTGGGCAAGTTACTTAACCTCTCTGTGTCTCCAGTTCTTTGTCTGAAAACCTTATGGGGCCAGGAAATTCACATGATTCAATGCACTTCCAGCTCTCAGGACAGCAGTAAGCTCAGTGAATGTTAGTGTGATTCCGTATCGTACAAATACAAAGGAAAAGGAAAAACAAGAATGAGCTCCTGGATACACACAGCACGGACACATCTTACAGACACCGCGCTGAGTGGAAGCAGCCAGGCACGCATGTATGTGAATGAAGTTCATGAAAAGGCAAGATCCATCAGTGATGCTACAAGTCTGAATGGCGGTCACCCATGCACTGGTCCACCCGTCTTCTGGGGGCTGGAAACGCTCTGCGCTGATCTCGCGGGTGGTTACACCTAGCCGGACACTTAAGATCAGCGTACTTTATGCACTTCACGCACGTCACCTTTAGTTTGAAAGTTATTACCCTTATCACGCTTCTGTACCCAGTGCTACTCCCCATGTCCTCTGCCCCTGCCCCTTCCCCACAGCCAGTCTTCATCTGCAGCCAGAGTGACCTTAGGAAGCACAGATCTACCTGCCAGCTTAGAACCACTCCATCACTCCCCACGGTCTGAGGATCAGGTCCAGAATTCTGCAAGAGGCTGGAGCAGGCTTGGGCCCTACCTCTTTGCCAGTCTCACCATGTAAGACCTTCCTGACATCCCTTTCCATTCTACACTCCAGCTGAGCCTGCGCTGTCCCGCCCCCACTCACTTGGCTTTTGCACAAGCTGTTTTCTATGCCTGGAACAACCCCAGACTCATCCCCACAAAAGCAAACCTCCACTGGCCCCCCTTCAAGGAGCCCTGGTGGCA